ATACTTACAATAGCATAAAAAAGAGTAAAATATTTAGGCATAAGTTTAAGAGATATATACAGCTTATACTTTGAAAACCACAAAACAGGCCGGGCATGGTGTGGTTCACGCTCGTAATCCCAGCACGTTAGGAGACTGAGGTGGGAAAATCACTTGAGTCCAGGAGTTTGAGACCAGCCTGAGGCAACATAATGAGACCTTGTCTCTACAAAAATATATATAATCAATTGTATATTGATTGTGTATTCTGCAACATTGCTAAGCTTGTTTATTAGTTCTAATAGTTTTTTTGTGGATTTTTTAGGATTTTCTATATGCAAGAGTATGTCATCTGCAAATAGAAATAGCTTTACATTTTCCTTGCTGATTGGATGCCTTTCATTTCATTTTTTTCACCTAATTACCCTGGCTAGAACCTTCAGTACAATGTTGAATAGAAATGTCAAGGACAGATATCCTCATCTTGTTCCTGAACTTAGGGGGAAAGCATCTTGTCTTTCGCCATGTAGTTTTCTGTTGATACCTTTTATCAGATTGAGAAAGTTCCCCTTTCCATTCCTAGTTTATTGAGTTTTCATTATACAAAGGTATTGGATTTTGTCTACTGCTTTTTCTGTATCTGAGATGATTATGTGGGTTTTGTCCCTTATACTATTGGTAATTATCTGTTACACTGATTGGTTTTTAGATGTTAAACCAACTTTGCATTCCTGAGATGAGATGAATCCACATCTTTTTTAGGTGACTATTTCACTAGATTGTGAGCTTCACCACTGTTAGGGCCAGTGTCCCCAGGGGGCAGGTAGGGGTGGATGTCCCTAAAGTCTGTCTTTATTCTGCTCTTTCACTCCCCTGAGTGTCCCCTCTTCTATTCTGTCTGCAAAGGCAAGGATGGGAAGCCAAGGCAGAGGTGATCATTGGCAACTGTGGGGAGTACGTGTGGCACTCTCTCTGCTCTCCACTCTGCTCTTGCCCCTGCACATCCAGGAAGGAGCTGCCAGCCTCAGAGGAGGCAGCACCGAGGGTGCCCTGTTTGAAGCAAGCAGCATTTGTGGCATGAGGCCTGCCTTAGGGTCAGCTTGGAGCATCTCTGTAGGCACAGCCTGGACTGTTCCCAAGTGCAGCTGTGGGCCCAGGAGCCAGCACAGGTGCTCCTTCACCAACCACCACTTTTCCTGGCTTTTACTGCTGGGTCTGCTGTGGGCCCACCGATGTGGTTCCTGGATGTTTTGTTCTGTTTGGTTTGCTAAAATAAATCCTAGTTCTTATACTGCTGCCTGCCAGCCAGGTCCCAGGTGTTTTCAGAGATTGCTGCTGGGACAGGCCATAGCAGCTCTGCTGCTGCTCTTCTGCCTTAGGCTGAGTCCCTTAGGAGATGCCCTCGTCAGCCCATTGTGGGGCAGTAGAAGTGAAAGCCATGTAAAAGTGCCTCTGTCTTCTCTTTCTGGTTGGTTACCATTCCTGCTGTCACACCAGCTGGTCCTGTGCCTGATGGGCATCTGTCATCAGTCTCACTGACCTGGCACTCACTATGTACTCCCTTAACCGACAGAACTGTATTACTGAGGAGCACCCAGGGCCCTTCTTTAGTCAGCGGATGTGCTTGGTGCTGGGGAGAAACGAGCCAGGGGTGGCTTCTACTTCCTCCTCCCAACCCCAGGCCTACCTGGAAACTGCAGTGTGGTGTCATGGTGCGCAGCCTGTGCTAGGATGGCCTCTCACCCTGCACCAGTTTTGGGCCAGCCAGGCCACCTCATGGCCTCCCTCAGGTGTTGAAGCTGAGTCCTATCAGTCTCCAAAAACCTCCCCCAGGGCTCCCCACTGGCTCCCATGATATATCCTAGGAGCTCTATCTGAATCAGGTCTTTTTTTTTTTTTTTTTGAGACGGAGTTTTGCTCTTGTCACTCAGGCTGGAGTGCAATGGCATGATCTTACCTCACTACTCTGCCTCCCAGGTTCAAGTAATTCTCCTGCCTCAGCCTCCCAAGAAGCTGGGATTACAGGCACCCGCCACCATGCCCAACTAATTTTTGTATTTTCAGTAGAGATAGGGGTTTTGCCATGTTGGCCAGGCTGGTCTTGAACCTTAGGTGATCCACCCACCTCAGCCTCCCAAAGTGCTGGCTGAATCAAGTCTTGATGTTTAGAATCCACCAGGGTGAGGTTGGTGGGGAAAGGAGAAGCGTATTGCCCTGGCCCCAGTGACCCCAAGCCAACTCCATCTCTGGCACCCTGGGTGGGGCTTCGCCCCCTGGATCAGCTTGGGACGGCAGAGCTCCCAGCAGGACTCACTCCTCAATGTCGATGTCATTACTGCTGGTCAGTCATGGCCGTCAGGACAGGCAGCATTGAGGCCAGGATAAGGCAGCTACGCAGGGCTGCCATGAAGCCCAGGAGAGAAGAGGATGTGTGTGAAGTGCTCAACATGGTGGATTCTGGGGGTGACAGGCAGGCTGGCCCGAGGCCCCGGGAGGGAGAACTGGTCCCACAACCTTGTGAAACAAGGGAGGACCTTATTGCTGTGCTTGCCTGATTACCCTGGGAAGGAGGGACCAAGGGACCAGCCAGAGGCCAGTGGGAGAGGAACCATCAGGGTTTCCCCAGAAGTTATCCCAGTGGGTCCACCTATGACCCTTGTACTCTGAGGTCACCTGAGCCTCAGAGGTGAGGCACCTGCCCCTACTTGTGCCAAGTGTTGCACAGAGAAGGAGAGGAGGTTCTTGGCCCAAGGATTCCAGACCAGTGGCCAGCCTCGTGGCCATGCGATCTGAGCACCAGGCTGCCTGCTGCCCTGCTCACGGAGCCCCACCCCGGCCTCTGAGGAAGGGAACGCAAGACCAGACATACAAGGGAGAAGCTAAAGCAGAACTCAAGGGATGGAAGGCTACTAATAGTTGTGTTTTCAAAGAACATTTAATCAGAGGAACTTTCAAAATGTTTCATACATTGAATAGATCCGATCACCAAGCAGTGCACAGAATAGGATCCTAACTTTGTAAAATATCTATATGTCATATATAAAGACAAATGTGTATGTGCCAAGAAAAAAGACTGGAGAAGGAATTATGAACAGTGGTTATCTCTGTGATTGATTTTGGGTGGTTGTATTCTGGTTTTTGTTATTTTCAAAATTTTCCCCAGCACACAGATAACATTTTCTTATGTGAGAAAAAATATTTTTAAAAAAGCAGGGGATGGAGAGCGGCAACTGTTTGCTGAAGACTTCTCAGTAAGGAAAGGAACCTGGGGTAGAAAGCTCCCCCTTCAGCTGCCCATGAGGGCACAGGTGGGACCCACACTCAGTACGGGGCCAGGTCAGGGCCACAACACCTGCCACTTCCTCAGCGGAGACCCTAGCGCAGGTCACTGTCGGCCCAGACTCCTTCCACAAGCAGGCGAGGGTGCAGGGCCACACCTCATCCAAGAGATGACCACGTTTAGGTTTTTTGAAGAAAAGCACAGCTCTCAGGTAAATACAGCAGCACCTCCAAGCACATTCTGGGAGGAGTGGGTTTTATGAGGAAGGCACACAAGGAAGGCCCAAATTTGCAAGTCCCTTTAAAATGAGCCTGCTCAGAAGTGCTGTTTATTTCCACAGGTCTGCGCAGGCATGGCACTAAGGGTCCCGTGGCACATTTGGCCCTCATGGAGGCCTCAAAAGGGCAGGACTAGCACCTTCTTCTACAGAGCGTGAGGAAGGAGCAGGCGCAGCAGGTACATGATGTGGTCAAATTAAGAAGAGGCGGAGGCCAGGTGCAGTGGCTCATGCCTGTAATCCTAGCACTTTGGGAGACTGAGGCAGGAGGATTGCTTGAGCTCAGGAGTTCAAGACTGGCCTGGGCAAAGTTAAAGACTGGCCTGGGCAACATAGTAAGACCTGGTTTCTGCAAAAAATATAAAAATTAACTGGGTGTGGTGGCGTGTGCCTGTCATCCCAGCGACTCGGACTGAGGTGGGAGGATTGCTTGAGCCCAGCAGATCGAGGCTGCAGTGAGCCATGATACTGCCACTGCACTCCAGCCTGGGTGACAAAGCAAGACCCTGTCTTCAAGAAAAAAAAAAAAAGAAGGCAGCCAGGACTTGATGCCAGGTTGACTTGGCTCCAAAACCTGCCCTCTCCTTTTCACAGCCTCCTTTCCTGTGAAGTAATATGGAATTTCTCTAAAGCACATCGCCCAGGTCCCTATGTAAAGACAAAGAAACAGGACTTTGTGCGCTCACCTGGCATTAGGGCCAGCACTGTGCTGCAGTTGTGAAGATGGCCACTGGGTTGGGGGTTGTTCTGCACCGAATGGCCCAGACTCCCTGTCAGTGGCTACTTGTTGCAGCCAGTGGGCCTGAGTTGACCACCCTTATTTATGCTCCTGATCTGCAGCTTTGAATGCATCCTTGGCTGTGGGAGGCAACCAGGCCAGAAGACGACCTTGGTAGCTGAGCACTGACCCCTCATCAGCTGTGTGTCCATACGACCTCCTCCCTTTCTGAGGCCTTCTCTATGTGATGTCATTTGGTGGCTGTCTGGAAGTCTGGCCAGACAGGAAGGTTTAGGTGCTAGAAGTCTGGCCACCAGGAAGGCCATGACTGTCATACTTTGTGCTGTGCTGCATAAAATGGGAGTCTCATCATGATCCTCAGGCCTGCTCTGCACACCTGATGGGCATGGCAGCATTTGTGTCTTGAAAACATTCATTTCACAAACTCCTAGCACACCCAAACCATGCCAGGTTACACACTGGGCACTGAAGAGACCACACATTTGTCAGTTTCAAAAACTCTACTGCCCAGTATTGGAAGAAGAGAGCTGTTAAATTAGGGCCTGCAATGGCAGATAGGCCCCAAGTCCTATGGCAGCTGGGGGCTCAGGCCATGTCTCAAGCTTTGGGAGAAGGTCATGGGGGCAGACGGGTTCTCTGGGTTGGAAGAGCCTCTGGAATGAAACGGTCCTATGTCCTCATGTCGCAGGTGAGAAACTGAAGTGTGAATAAGAAAGGGAACACCAAATCAGTGCCTGAGTTGGAACTAGAATACCTGTCTCCTGACACTCAGGCCATTGCCTCTTCCAATCCCTGCTAGCTGAGCTTGAAGTCCTAGACTAATGGGGAACTCACCATCTTCCAGACAGCCTGGGCCCACCCTTTATGTACATGGAAAGGTCTCTTCCTCTGCACTTGCACGCGGAGGCCCTCCCTGGTCCAGATGGAGGGGCTGCTCTCCCACAGCATGGCCCCAGGCTCCACCCCTGCTGCCAGACCAGCTCTCCCCAGGCCCCTCCCTAGGGGTGCAGCATGTGAACTCCAGAGAGGCGCATCCTTGGGCACATGGGGAGGTGGAGCCACCCTGCTGGGCTGTGCCTGTGGATGGGGCGGACCCAGGATCTGCTTTTAATGACACGGTTTGGGCAGCTGGACTCTGTCTATTCCAGCAGGTAAATTACAGGCTTAGCAAGTCAGAAATCAAATAAACACTCCAACTCCCAGTGGTTCCTCCAAGGAGAACAGCGGTTTCCGGGAACAACAGAGGCTGAGACAAACCTCCCCACCCAACTCAGCCTAATTACTGCCTGTCACTCCCTGGGACAGGGACCTTTTCTTTGACTCACAGGCCCAAGACAGGACAGTGCTGGTGGGCACCCAAGGTGACGCCAATTTTGGTGGCCAGCTTGTTCGTAACTCGTAGACACAAGCAAACACTGGCAGTCCCCACCCTTGCCCCATGCCTGGCCAGAGACCGCCAGTCACCCTGCTCTGGATGGAATGGATTGCTCTGCAGTGGGGCAGGAGCGGGAACTGAGGGCTCGTTGACAATGCCTGGTGGTGGCTGTCTGCAGTTCTGTGTTGAGGCCCGAGGCCCTGTCCAGGTTCAGTGGAAAAGGTACATAGGTTGATTACTGATGTGAGCCATGGGCAAGGGGAGTAGGCTGCAGGGGCATCTGCTCTCTGCCAGCCTAGACCACACATTGGAGCTGCTGGTCTTGTCTCTATCTCAGTGCTGAGCCCCAAATAGGTCAGCGTGGTAGAGATGGTGGAGGGAACTGGAAGCCCACAGGATTCTTTGCTCCTCTGGGAGTCATACCTCTTTCCTAGGCAGGAAACGGGGCAGGCCCAGGGCAAGGGAACATACATGACATAAAATATCCCCAGTGGCCAGGCACGGTGGCTCACACCTGTAATCCCAGTACTTTGGGAGGCCAGGCGGACGGATCACTTGAGGTCAGGAGTTCAAGACCAGCGTGGCCAATATGGTGAAACCCCATCTCTATTAAAAATACAAAAATGAACCGGGCATGGTGGTGGGCTCCTGTAATCCCAGCTACTCAGGAGGCTGAGGCACGAGAATTGCTTGAACCTGGGAGGCAGAGGTTGCAGTGAGCCGGGATTGCACCAGTGTAACCCAGCCTGGGCAACAGAGTGAGACTCCGTCTCCAAAAAAAAAAAAAAAAAAAAATCCTCAGTGGCTTTGTGGAGATGTCCAGCTTATTCTTTTTCTAATATGCTAACTGCACCCTGGACCAAATGAGAAGAATTCCAGAACACACTGCTGAGAACATGAGCGTGTCCAATTATGCCCAGAAATGGCCAGTATTGTACCTGGGAAGGGGCAGAGCCCTTCTCCCCACACCTAAACCCTCTGGTGAATGGAGAAAAGCTCAGGTCAGCCAACCTCAGACCATCCAGGGCCAGCCACAGTCTGACAGGTCCTAAGATAGGACTTCTGTGCTGACTCCAAACAGTGCAGTCAGCACAGGCTCTGAGGCTGCTGTGTGCCTTAGGCCACCAAAGTGTTGGACAGGGTGACAGCCACAAACCCCAGGGGAGGGGCACAGAGGGACATAGAAAGGACCAGAAGAAGCCTGACAGGAAGTAGGCACAGAGAGTGAGGGCCCCTGACACTCCTGCTTGAGCTGTGACAGCATTTAAGGGTTTTCTGCCTCTGCGGGGCCCGATCAGGATGAGAAGGGCGGCTGCAGCAGGGCCGGGCGGGCGGGTGGGCTCAGTGGCAGCCGCAGGCCTTGACCACCATGTTGCGGTGCTTGCGCAGGATGACGTTGTTGCTGCTGTCATAGTAGAGCACAGAGGTGGCGCTTAGCTTGGTGGGCGCGCAGCATGCCTTGGGGACTGCGTCTGGCTTCATCAGGTGCACCTGGCCAGGGAGGGGGGTACAGGCAGGGGCATAAGCCCAGTAGCCTCCTCCGAGGACCCACCCAGTCCTGCCCCAGCTCCACCTGCTCCCCGCCCTGGCCATCTCCAAGCCACATGGGAGCAGCACAATAATAAGAAATATTAACAGGAATAAGAGCAGCCTTGAGGGCTCTGGGGGCAGGAGCCGTAGTGACCTGCAGTGCCCAGGGAGGGACACATGGCAGCCCTGGGGGGTGGGGCAAGTGGGTAGGGTGCTAATGAGGGGCCTCAAGTCCCAGGCCAAGGGCTTAGACTTCCTCCTGGGGATAATGGGAAGGAGAACCTCATGGCCAGGTTTGTGCCTTAGTGAGGTCCCCAAGGGGAGCCTGGAAGGACCACTTTCTTCTTTTGGCCCTTTGGACCCCCAGAGGCTCTGCCTCCCCACACCCCAGCCTCCCTCCCCAGGCTCTGGGAGGCCAAGCCTTAGCCCCTCTCCTGTGCTGCTCCTTCCCCCAGAGACCCGCATCTGCCCTCAGCACTTCAGGGCCCTGCATGTGCCCGCGCCTCTCTACTCCCCGGGCTCAGCTTGGACCTCTCTTCTGAACATCAGATTTGTGGATCCTGCTCCCCTCCCCACTTCTGCACTTGGGGTCTAATGGGGCCTCAGCAGAACACGGAGTTCCTCCTGCCCTGACATCATAGCCCCCACCTGGGAGGCCTCCTGGATGACTCCTCTCGCTTTCTCCCTTCCCTGGGAGCAACCCCTGGCTCAACCTCCACCTCCATGCTGCCTCGGACCACCTGCCCCGTCCAGCTGCCATCACCTGCCAGGTGACCACAGCAGCCCTCACTTGTCCCCTGCTCCTCTGCCTTCCACTGCCCCCACCATCAGCCTCCCTAAGCCAGAAAGGTACTTCTGGAGGGTGACACGGACCAGGTCACTGCTTTGTTAAACACTTCTGACAGCCTTTCGGGTTGCTTGGAATAAAATCCACCCTCATTCCCAGGGACCCCCAGGCCCTAGGGGACACAGCCCTGCCCACTCCCAGCATCACCTCCCTCCGCTCTCCTCCCCTTCACTGCACCCAGTCCCTCCTCCCTGCTAACCCTGAACTTGGGGCCAACTTGCTACTGTCTTAGGGCCTTGCAGTTGCTCCTTCTGATGGAACATTCCTCCTCCAGCTGCTGATGTGCCCCTCCTTGTGCGGAGAGGCTGGGCCCAGTCTCACTCCACTGATGGCGCAGCCGCTCTGCTCTTCCTCACAGGAGGCGTCAGCTCCATGGTTGGTTTGCTTCTGTGCCCGCTGACAGCCTCCCCTAGAGCACAGCGCCTGTCTGTTTGCTGCCCAGCAGGCTGTGAGCGCTCACTTTAGTTGAGCCCCTGAGGGGCCGGGGTAGAGAGGATGGAGTCTGGGAGCTGCAGATGCAGTCACCTTCCCGTGTGCCTCCCACACATGCAGCTGTGAGAACCACACAGCATAAAGGGTGGCTGGGCTGGGCCGCCCCACGCGTCCTCATCACCCCTGGGCCTTTCCAAGGAGGTGGCTCCAGGTATCCAGCAAATGCCATTTGACTGCCCAGAAAGGAAGCATTATCATAGGCTCAGAGCAGCTTTTGGTAATTTCTTTCCTCTCACACCAAGGCATTGCATGCACACGTGTGTGTGTGTGTGTGTGTTTTAATTTTTATTTTAGAGACAGGGTTTCGCCATGTTGCCCAGGCTTGTCTCGAACTTCTAGGCTCATGTGCTGCGATTACAGGATAAGCCACCACACCTGATCAAGGCATCACCGTTGAACCTCCTAAGAGGAAAACATAAGGCTGTGGAATACCAGGAACTGGAATTCTAGGTAAAAAGTTCTAGAAGGAAGCCTCGGTGCCAGAATCCGCAAATACACAGAGCACTCCGCAGTGAGCAGCACCAGTGATCCCATCAGAAGCCTGCTTTCATCTTTGAAGGTTGCCGCAGACAACAAGGCATCAAAAGCCAGGGGATCCAGAGAAAACACAAATGACCAAGACAGAAACTGGGGGAAAAGCCAAAAGGTTGAGAGCCACACCGTCTAGATGCTCCCTGCCTGCGGTGTGGCACAGGTGGGTGTGTGCACACACACGTCCTGCACACTGTGCGCACATATCATAGGCGGACAGACCTGCTAGTGTACTCAGGGGCCCATGTGTTAAGATCACACAGCCCCCACACAGTCTATTTCGTGTGCTGTGCCTCTGTCTGGGCACCACACGCAGGTGCGTTAAGTGTCCCACAGGAGCATGTGCGATGCATAGAACAGGCACGTGTATACGACTGTTCAGTGTCAGTGTGGAGTGTGTTCGGGTGCGAGACTATGTGTGCTAGTGTGGTTGTATGAGGACCAGTTCCTGCAGAGCTGTGGGAAGTTAGCAACATTACTGACTGTGCAGAGAAAGCCCCGAGACATGGAGCAGGTGGCCTCGCTGTCCTCCCGGCTGGCTGGACCAGACCCCTCTCTGCAGGGCCCCCCACCCCAGGGGGCTGGGCAGGATGGACACGGTACTGACCAGGGACTGCAGGATGGCGTGGTTGGTGGCGTTCATGCAGGAGCCCAGCGGGAAGGAGCACTCCCCCTCACAGTAATAGGCCGAGTAGCCTTGGGGGGCGATGACCCAGTCCTAGGGGACATGGGAGAAGGTGAGTCCCATCCATGTGCCCCTCCCTGAGCCTCAGGGCTCAAACCCACCCTCCACCCCTGCAGGGCAGTCTCCCCCAAGAGGCTTGAATCCACCCAGGAACCCCCAGCAGACAAGGCTGGGCAGGAGCTCAGGCGCAACATCCCACATCCTCACTCTGCATCTTCTCCCCAGCCAGCCCTCCCTGCCCACGCCTCCCAGAGCTGCAGTCACAGCCCATGCAGGGAGGTCTCAGTTACCCTGTGGCAATGCTGACGGCTTAGTTGATTCAGTCTTCATTTTCATGGTTAAAAAAAAAACAACCCTTTCTCACCATATTCTTACTTTAGAAAACTTGGAAAACACAGAAGAAAAAAATACCTAAGAAAATTGAAGTCACTCATGATTCTATGTCCTCCCTACAGATTCACTTCTGATCTACAGGTGGTGATTGTCATTTCAGAAACAAGGAGAGTCAGCAATTACCAGCCAGCCAAGGTCCTGGAAGCTGACGTAGAGCTCGTGCCGACGGCAGACCTGCTGCCCGTGGGAGCCATGGACGTCATCTGCAGGGACAGAAGGGCAAGGTCTTTTCTGGGGTTCCTGCTCTGTGCAGCTACTATGGGGTACCAGGGTCGGGGGATGCCCTGATAAGCACATTTGTCAAATGAATGACAGGAAACCATTTGGTCTCATAAAGCCCATCCCCGGAACTCTGCTTGTACCGTGACCCAGCTGAAGAGCCTGCCATGGCTCCCGACGGCTAGAGTGACACTGTGCTCAGCACTCCCCTGTCCTTCAGCCTGTGAGCGTCTTGACGCGCCAGTAAACAGCCCAGCAGGACCCTCGGCCATCCTGTGCCGCCTCCTCTCTAGAGACCCCTGTGACTCCAGCCCACCCTTTCCTGCCACACACATTCCTCAGGTTCAAGTGGCTCATGACCAGGCCAGTCAGGGGCCGACTGCCTGGAAATGAGGGCACAGGATCGGGTTAGGCCTGTCCCTGATCCTGAAGGGCTTGGCCCAGTTGGGGAGAAAACTTCACATAAGCAGCCGAGGATGCTGCGGGGTGCCTAGGCACAACCGCGGGTCACAAGGGGCTTCGGCTCCCAGGGAAGGGGCAGCTCATTCTGATGGAGGTTCCTGGGAAAGACCCGGAGGAGCCAGGGGGAGAGAGGGGGCCTTCTGGGTGGCAGGGACAGCCAGGACAGGCCTCTGGAGTGCCGGTCACCAGGGTGCATCAGGGCAAAAGATGGGGTCAGGAAAGGTGGCTGGAGAGTGGCCGTCAGCTTGAACCGACCTGAGCCTGAGGGCTCTGGGCCACCACTTGGTTCTCACTCTGCTTCTCTCAACTGGAAGCCCGCAGGGCCTCGGCCCCACCCCGCCCAGCCCTCACCAAAGATCCCTGGGAGTCGGCTGGCCTGCGGCAGCTCGTTGGTTTTCTTCGGCTGCCTCCTTCTCAGTGGCCTCACTGCCCGAGGGGTGCGGATGGGACTCGGACTGGCCCTGAAGAAAGTAACCACGAAAGGCTGTCGGGAGCGCGGGGCCCGTTGACCCAGCAGGCCGGCCAGGCCAGGATCCACGCTATGCCCTGCGACAGAAAGGAGAGAGGGGTCACTTGCGGGCAGTGGCCCTGCAGCGGACATAGCAGGGATCTCTCTGCCGGGGCCTGAGCAGGTCCAGGAGCGTGAAGGCTGAGGACCCGAGGGTCCCTGCTGAGCCTCAGTTTCCACATCTGAAGCCTGGAGTCCTTGGTCCAGCCCCAGCCAGTCTACATCTCTCAAGTTTGAAGATTTTTCCCATGGATCACCTCATTGGGTCGTTACAGTAATCCTGTAGCTCCTTCTTCACAGGAGATGCAGAGTCCTACTGCCAGTGACTTTGAGAACCAGCGCTCCCACCTCAGTCCAAGGACCCCGAGGCCTGTGTTCTGTCTTCCATCCCGCACTTTCTGGGGTGTGAATGTCGAATTTATGACTGAGACAGCTCGTGGCAGCATCTGCCAAGTTTAGCGAGTGCTTCTCTGCTGGGCACAGCCCAAAAGCAGGGCATTAACTGTCTCCCTGATGCCCATAAGGGAGATGCCAGGCAGAGCATAGACATTGGAACCAAGTCCCAGAGCCCAGGTTTCAGCCTGCGGCAGTCCCATTCCAGAGTCCAAGTTCTTATGCACGAGCTGGGTTTATGGAGAAAAAAGAAAAGGCTGAAGCAGAGATCTGACTTGGGCCTCAGCCCCAGGAGGAGTGAAGCCTGTAAACAGGGGATTGTCCCCCACAGCCGCTTCCAGACAGGATGCTGCTAAAACACATGATAACCAGCCCTTCACCAAGAAAACTGCATCCTCCTGTACTTGTTTGGATTTCAATAACCTTTCTATTGTAAAAGCAGTTAACCACGATAAAGTTTTGAGAAAAAAATACCATTTTAAAGCCCTTCCAACTCCCATACATTTTCATTTTTCTGGGCTATTCTGTCAGTTTAAGTTTTACACAGTCAGCCCAGCAAAGACATCCTCATTTTTTTTTTCAGCTTTCAAGTCGCCAGGTATGGTGGCTCACAGCTGGAATCCCAGCACTTTGGGAAGCTGAGGCTGGAGGATGGCTTCAGCACCGGAGTTTGAAGCCCTGGAGCTCGTCATCAGATATCCCAGGTTATTTCCTGCTTTTCACGATAAAGATGGGAGTGCAATGGAGCCTCTTCACTCTGTGCATGGGTGAAATTTCCTGATACTGAATTGCAGAGGCATGATTACCAGTTCATTTTCTTGTCTCTTTAAACATTGCCAGTTCTTCAGTTTACACAAAAGCACATTTCACCTCCACTTTACAAGCACAGATGTACACATGTATGTACACACATGCATATATGTGGGTCTGTATTAACACACAGAGGCACATACGCTTAGACACTACACATACAGATGTATTTATTCCTACATACTTCTCCAGTACACCCTGTAGGTCAAGGACACTGTCTGACCCACCCTCAGTCCCACTCAAAGGTCAGCCCTTAAGCAGCTGTGCCTCAGTCCCGGTGTCCACTGGCCAGTTGATTGAACAACCAGTGAATCCAGAGACCAACTTTTGACCTGTGACGTCATCTGCCACAAACAGGAGCGTGGACAAGAGCTGCCGAGACAGGGAGGCTGTGAGCTGCAGGCACTGACAGCAAGGAGGCCCAGAGAGAAGCCACTGGGCAGAGCTTGGTTCACGGTGAGTCAAGGTTATGGGGAAGCAGCAGAAATACAAGGACCAGAGCCAGGGTGCAGAGGAAAAGGCAAGACAGGTCACAACGAGGAGAGAACAGAGCAGCCTGTGTGGGGTGGTGAGGGTCACCAGCCCGGGCACTGGAGTGTCACTCTGCGGACTGGCTGACACATGGGGACGACCTGGGGCCCAGGGCAGCCCTCCAGGCTGCATGTGCGGCTCTGTCCTGCGATTCCCTGGGGAGCCCTGGCAGCGTTGGGGCTAGAGGGGCCATCAGTCCTGCATGCTTTGCTCACTATTTGCTTCTGGGCAGCTGTGTTCAAGGGTCTTATGGGGGTCTCCCAGACACAGGATAGAATGTCGCATTAGATCAGTTACACCACAGACCCTCACAGAGCCCCTCTGAGCCAGGCCTGGCTTGGGTGCTGGGAACCCCTCTGTAGGTCTCACAGGCCAGGTGAGCCTGACTGGGGACTCTTGAAGTAGCTAATCCCAGGTTCCCATTTTACAGAAGGCCCAGAGAGAGCAGCAACTGTTCAGGGTCCCAGAGCAAGGTGGGTCAGAGCCAGGATTATCATATACTTTCCAAGCAAATTGCAGGGGCCTGGCTGGGTGTGGCTCCGGGAGATGGGGGTGGCAAAAGGGGACTAACAGCAGGTCTAGGTTCAGAGCCCTGTATCTGGCAGGCCTGGAGAAGCTCCCCCACCCTACTCCTCTCCTTCCTTTTAGTACTCGAGGAACACAGTGAGGAGCTGATCTGTTTTCCTGTTGTTTTGAATTAAAGTCGCAGCTCTCTAGAGGAGCACAGTCCACCTAGGGAGGAAAGTCGGAGGCCAGCAGCAAACGCCTCCAAGCGCTGGGTAAATGCATTCCTGCGGTAACCGACGTCCCCTGGGGAACCCGGTGGGACCCCCTGAGGAGTGCACCCCCCCCCCCCAGAATCAGGTCCCATCAGGGTGCCACCTGCTGCATGGGCCTGAGGTTCGGGGACACAGCAAAGGCACACCCCGTGCTCTTTTTGACGTCGTCCACGGTCAGGCCCTCCCAGAGCTCCGTCAGCGTCAACCCTCTCTTCCTGTGCACGTCAAACACGGCCTTCTCGGTGATGATGCGGTCCACGCACTGCTTCCCGGTCAGTGGCATGGTGCATTTCTCCACGATCTTAGGGATGTTGTCCTTTGTGCAGTGCTCCATGGTGACCACCACTCTGGTCTTCGGACTGGACACCAAGTCCATGGCACCGCCCATGCCTTTCACCTTCTTGCCAGGGATCATCCAGTTCGCCAGGTCGCCGTATCTGGAAACCTGCATGGCTCCGAGCATGGTTAGGTGGAGGTGTCCTCCTCGGATCATGGCGAAGGAGTCGTCGCTGGCGAAGCAGCAGCCCCCGGGAAGCACCGTGACGGTCTGTTTGCCTGCATTGATGAGGTCGGCATCCACCTCATCTTCCGTGGGAAACGGGCCCAGGCCCAGGATCCCGTTCTCGCTGTGAAGATGCACGGTCATGCTGGGGCTGATGAAGTTGCTGGCCAGCAGGGGGATGCCTATGCCCAGATTGGCGTACATGCCGTCCTCAAATTCCAGAGCTGCGCGTCTGATGATGCGCGTCCTGGCGTCCTCTTTGTTTTCGGCGTCTCCATCTTCCTCTTTCCGGATTGTCAAGCGCTCAATTCGTTTCTCGTATTTCTGCCCCTTTATCACACGATCTACATAAATGTTTGGAACGTGGATGTCTTCTGGGGGAAAAGTCCCCACGTCCACGATCTCTTCCACCTCCACCGCCGTGACGTCTGCAGCTTTGCACATGGGCACGTTGAAATTGCGGGCGCTCCCCCTGAAGACCACGTTTCCTGCCCGGTCGGCCTTCCACCCTTTCACCAGGGCGAAGTCCGCCCGGATGGCGCGCTCCAAAAGGAAGTGGTCGCCTTGGAACTCCCTCACCTCTCGGGGCTGGCTCATGATAGCCCGGTGGCCGTCCGGGGTGTAGAGGATGGGGGCGCCCCCTTCCTGGACCAGGGTCCCGTAGCCCGTGGGGGTGTAGAAGGCGGGTACCCCGGCGCCCCCCGCGCGGATGCGCTCGGCCAGGGTGCCCTGGGGTGTGAGCTGCAGCTCCAGCTCTCCTGCCAGGTACTGGCTCTCGCACAGCGTGTTCTCACCCACGTAGGAACAGACGATGCGGCGGATCTGCCTGGAGGCCATCAGGAGGCCCAGGCCGAAGTCCTCCACGCCCACGTTGCTGCTGACCACCTGCAAGTCCTTCACGCCGGTCCTGAGCAGCGCGGCGATCAGGTTCTCTGGGATACCGCAAAGCCCGAAGCCCCCGACCGTGATGGTCGCCCCGTCAGAGATGTCCTTCACCATCTCCACCGGGTCCGTGTAGAACTTGGCGCGGGGCCGGGGACTGGTGGCAAAGCGGTGGGCGCAGCCCTGGGACAGCGCGAGCCCTGAGCAGCCCCGCCGGCGGGGACCCCGCGCCCGAGCGCCGACGCCAGGAGCCGCAGCGCCGCCATGGTCGGCCCGGGTCAGAGGCCAGGAGAGGTGGTGTGCGCCCCGCGTGCGCCCCGGGGTCCCGCGTCACAGAGCAGGAAGGACGCCCGCACCCTGACGCACTCCCGCCCAGCAGGTCTCCCCGGCCAGGCGCAGGCTCTAGGCCAGGCCCGCGACCCACCACAGAGAGGGGGCCGCTCCTCCACTCCGCCCTGGGCTGGGGGCCCCCGTGTCAGTTCTCCGTGTCCAGCGCACAGGCCCCGGGCGCAGGACAGAGTTGAGGTCAGGCTTCGCGTAGAGGGCACCAGGCAGATCCCCTCCTGCCCCAGTGGAGCCTCAGACACAAACTCCAACCGCCCCGCCCAAGCTTTCCCCACTCATAAGAGACAGCACATATCTAATGAGCAGGCGCTGCTGGGTGACACCGACGGTCATGACCACCCTCACTGGGCATCACTCTGTGCCAAGCACCCTCCTTTAATCCTGTGACAACCTGGAGAGTGAGTGCCCCAACCCACTACAGCCCCCCAGAGCTCAGGTTCAGCCCTCACTGTGAGAGTGGGGACACTATCCCTCACCTTCATCAGGAAGGGTCCCCGCTCTGAAGAGTCTCCAGCCTTGTCCTCTGCATCCCCCTGCCCTCTCCACCTCCCCCACTCCAGCTCCCTGCTCCAACTTGTGAGGAATTTTGCAGTTTTCTTCCCCCTGCACAGAATCACTCCATCACCACAGCAGGGTGCAGGCGTCTCCTCACCTGTAAAGGACCTGCCTTGTCCCGGGTTCTCTCCAGCCCCAGCCCATGTCTCTGCTCCCCTTCCCCAGCAAAGGTTCTGGAAAGAGCTGTCTCCTGCCTCCACTGCCTGTCTCCCTCCACCTCCCCAGTCAGACCCACACTCCACGGAGATTTGGCCCATCAGCAACCTCTGTGATGGCAAAACCCTCGGTCACTTCACTGTTCTTGCCTTCAGTGCCCACAGCTGGACACAAACGACAAACCCTTGCTTCTGGAAACACTTGACTCTGGCATCTTGGTCACCTCGTCCTCCAGGTGTGCTGCTCCCTCCCTGGCTGGTCGCTGTGGCCCCTCCTTGTGAGGTCTCTGGATGTTGGAGGTCCCACTGCTCTGGGCCAGGCCCTCTTTCTTTTCCATCACTACCTCCTTCCCTAGATGATCTGGTCCCACCCCATGCTTTAAATCCACTTACATGCCAGCACTTCCCTCGCCTGGGTCTTCACGCTCACCTGTCCCTGGAATGGCATTTCCATGAGGACCAGTGATCTCAGTAACATCCCAGGGGGCTCAGTAATATTCCAGCCAAAAAAGAACCCTTGGTCACACACCTCAAATGTGCCCTTCATCTATCTTTCCCCAAAAAGAAAAATCTATTGAAAAAAATCCACTGGTTCCATCCACACATCATTCAGGCTTCCTCCCGTTCCCTCATCTCCTCGCCAGCTATGCGCATGTCCTGACACTGAAATCGACTCATCTTTCTCCATCCCCACTGCTCACAGCGCCCACCTGCACCACTGTGGGGCCCCCACGAGTCTCTGTGACTTCACTCTTGTCCCTCTCAGTCTGCTCTCCCCACTGAAGTCAGGGGGTTCCTTATTTTATGCATATATTCAGTAAAGTTTTAATTTTACAACAGTTGATAGTTACATAAAAATTTGCAAAGGTAGTACAGAGTCTGAGCTGGGAGGATCGCTGGAGCCCAGGAGCTGGAGGTTACTGTGAGCTGCGATTGCGCCACTGCACTCCACCCTGAGCAACAGAGCCAAACCCTGTCTCAAAGAAAAAAAAAAAACCACACAAGGAGTTCCCATAAACCTGGACCCACTTTCCCCTGGGAAATGTTAATAGTTTACACTAGTAGGGTACCTTTCTCATAACTAATGGACCAGTACTGATATCTTATTATTAAGTAAACACCATGATTGATCTGGATTTCCTAACTTTCCCCTAATGCCCTTTTGCTGGTCCAGGATTCCACCCAGGACCCCACATGCACTGAGCTGGTCGTCTTGGGTGCCTCTGGGCTCCTCCAATTTCCCAACCTTCCCTTTTTTTTGATGAGCTTGGCGGTTTTGAGAAGTGTTTGCCAGGTATTCTGCGGAAAGCCTTTCTCTTTGGGTTTGATGGTCTTCTTGTGGTTGGACTGGGGTTTCGGGTTCACGGAGGGGGACCTCTGAAGCTCAGTGGTCTGCTCCTTCCCTTACACCCAGTACACATGCTAGCCCCGTGCCGGTCACTGCAGTGGGCCTTCCTCACCTGGCTGAGGCGCTGCGCGTCAGGTACCCCACGCCCTGTCCACACTGCACTTTCAGGAAGCAAGTCATTGGGTGCGGCCCACGGAAGGGGTGGGGAGCTCTGCTGCACCCTGAGAGGGGGGCATCTCAGAGGTTCTCTTCTAAAACCTGAATCAGATCCTATCGTCCACCACTGCTATTAAATAAAATAAACGACTAAACTAAAATAAACGGGCTAAGAACCCCACCACCTGGCCCTGGTTTACCCTGACTCAGAATGGCCCCTGCGACCCCCGCCCTCACCGCTGCTCCATGGCGCCCCCTTGCCGGGCCTCAAACACGCCCATCTCATGCCCACTTTGGCCTTTGTCTTCCTACTGCCTGGCATAAAAGAGGCTCTCCCCAATTTCACCTGTGGAATGAACAAGGGCATGAATCCCCATCCTACAGAAGAGAAGACAGGGTCTGGAAAGGTAAGTCCCAGCCAAGGTCACTGAGGCAGGGCACTGCCGAGCTGGGCTTCAAACCCAGCCTCCTGGCCTCAGTGTCTGAGGGTACAGCCACTTCCCCTCCTTCCCTTCCCAGGACAGAAACTCCCAAGGTGGAGGCTGCTCCGTGGGAAGAACCGCCTGCTTCCTGGGAAGCAGAGGGAGAGGAGGGAGCACCCCCACTGGGCCAGACCTTGTGCCTTGGACCTCAGTGACCCTCGTAGCGGGCACAGCTGGTGAGGCCAGGAACCCAGGGCCACAGGAAACTGCTACTACTGCCTTTACTGGCACAGAGAAGCCCCAGGGGCTGCTCCCACAGAGCCCCCAGCCTCACCGTCCTCAGTCTCCACATAGAGGCGGAGTCCCAGGTCCTTGTGACGCTTCAGCAACCAGCGGTCACTGGCTGCTGTGACGTCCAGCACCAGCCAGCCCTCGTCCCCAGCTCGGAGCGTCTGAAGATCCAAAAAGAACAAGTCAGACTCCCTGTGGACACGAAAGAACAATTAACCGGCGGTCGGCACAGCTGCCTCTGTCTCCAGGACCCGCTGGGAGCCGTCACTGGGGCATCTCCTACCTGACTCTGGCTGTGCCCCTTCTGAGCCTCATCTCACTGCCTCAGCCCACAGAGGTGTATACATGGGGAAACTGAGGCTCAGTGGTTCAATGACCTGTTCAAGTCCCCATAGCCAGGATGGCAGGGCAGGGACTTGAAGGCAGGACTGTCACTGGGGCTCTTCCCACAGTGCAGGGGGCTCGGACCAAGAATCTTTCCCGTCTTTGAGGGTCTCTTTCGGGGCTTCTGGGAAGTGTTCCACCAACCCCCACTCCCTGCTGGGTTGCCTTGACCATGAGACTGTGAAGTGGGCAGGGGCAGGGGCACCTGGGCCAAGGGGAAGGCACCTGTTGGACTGCTCCTGGACCACCTGGAACATGCTGACGTGGAGGGTCCTGTTGAGCAGGTGGATGCTGGGCACCTTGTAAATCCGGAACTCCGCAGCTGTGACCGCCTCCCCATCCGGGATCTGGGTCAGGTCAAAGCGGAACTCCTTCCAGTGGGGCTCCTGGTGGCCCAGGGCATGATCTCGCTCCACTAGAAGACAAAGCAGAGCTGGGCTGGCACTCGGAATGGCTCGAACTTTGGAGTGGGCAGAGCTGGTGTGAGCCACCGCCCCCAGCCACCCACCACTCAAGGTGGAGGGGACCCAGGGAGGCCTGGCGGGGCCGGTTTCCTTTTGTGCAAACGTTTGTTCCAGGCTTGGTCCCAGGGAGCAGACAGGGCTGAGAGGCCCTGCAGCCAGGCTCAGCCTGAGCCCTGCACCTGGCTGGTGCTCAACAGACCCCAGGCTCCAAACCCCAAACTCCCATTGTGCCCCTTCTCGGTCTGGCTGGTCCTGGGACCCGGAGATGAGACAGAGGAGGGAGCGTCCTCTGGGAGCTTCCAGGCTAAAGGGAAGATGGACATTGGACCCAAGGCAGAAAAGGGCCGGCCGTGCAGGGAAACCTGGTAGACAGGGACAAAACCGACATCACCGACGGCATCTCGGGGGACACAAGCCATCCAGAGCCTGCCCACTGCCTGGATGGGAGGTGTGGCAGGGGAGGGCTCAGGGCTGACAGCTGAGCTGGGCTGAGGCATGAACGCAAATCTGCCATGGGTCAGGGAGACGGGCCCTGCAGGGGCCGGCCAGCCAGGGCAGAGGGCCAGAGCAGAGGGGCCTGAGGGCAGGGCAGGGAAAGCAAGCACCAGGAAACAGCAGAGGGCAGGGGACCCACGTTTCCTTTCTGGAACAAGGTGGAGGAGGAAGGAGGGAAACGTGGAAAGGAACAAGAAAAACCAGGGCAGGAGTGACAACTCCTGGAGAGGCCAGTCAGGTGCTGGGGAAGTCGGAGGGTCTCACTGGGCGGTGGGATCTGAGCAGGTGGCATCTGAACTGGCTTTGAAGGGTAGGATGGGGTCTTGGTAGGTGGAGAAGGTGGCGGGGAGGGTGCTCTAGGGAGAGGGGACCTCACATGCGCAGGGGTGGAGGTGCTCACAGGTCGGCAATGCTGGGGACAGCACATGAGCTCTGCTGTGGCCTGCCTGCTGAGGGTGCCAATCCCGGGCCAGGAGCCTGGGCTGCGCTTCTGGCCAGTGGGGAGCACCGGGGACGGGGGCAGCAGGGGGGCGGCGTGGGGGGAGAGGAATTAGAAGACATGGTGGAGGCGAGGGTAGAGGCCAGGCTAGAGGTGAGATGGGCAGCAGGGCCCCATGGCGGGGGCTGGCCTGCCAATCAAACAAATGCCACAGTTGCGGAACAAAGCCCACATTTCCCCAGGTGTCCGGAAATACCCAGGACGCTATATTTAGAGCAGTCTCACTTTAGCCTCCTGTCCCTTTCAAACTCTAGAAATCTGTGTTTCCGGAAAGCAGGGGTGGGAGCCGCCCAGTGCCTTCCCCAAAACCCAACACTGAGATTTCAATGATATGTTTGTGAGTCTTTTTAAAAATTCTCTCTGGTTACTGGGCTCAGTGACCACAGTCAGGTTTGGAAAAGCACCAGGCTGTGCGGGCCGAGGCGGATGTGGGGAGCACTTCCTGTCCTTGCGGTGGGGACCTGGTCCAGTCATGGGCAGGCGAACAGCTGTGTGGGGCGGGCGATGGGGCCAGAAATGTGTGGGCAGGAGGTGGCCGCTCATCCCAGCCCAGGACGGAGAAGAAAAGAACTTGCCTTGTTCCACAGCACCTGAGGGTGCTGGGCACGCAACAAAAGCCCGCCTGAGAGCCGAGCTGCTCAGATGCCGTGACGCAGGCGACGATCTCTCCCCGTAGGCAGAGATCACTGATGGCAGAGTTCTGGACCTCCTCCCAGGAGTATCTACGTGCGTGTGCTCTCTTCCCTAACACGCTCACACAACATGACTTGGCTGACAATTTCAGTGGGTTCAGGATCTGCAGACCCCGCTGTGTTACACGGCTGGGTAAGAATCCCCCATTTGCAAGACGAAATCAGTCCACGCTGTTGGCTGTCACAGGGCATGCAACAGTGACGAGCAGCTCACTCGCGGCTTCTGTCCACTTTCAAAGCATGGCTGTGTGCTTGTGTCCCAGGGCACAGCAGGGCTGCCGGGTGGGTCCTGGGGCTCACTGGTATCCCTGTCGGCAGGCCACATGCTGACTTCATGTGGGATCCGAGGACTGAGGGAACAGCCCACAAACCCATCAGCTCTGTGGGGACGCCCGTGCTCTGTGGCCTCCCTCCCTGCCTGACCTGGGGGTCTACCCAGGCTGACTCAAGAGTTTTGTTCAACTGAACCGACCCGAGTTCCAAACTTCCCCGCTGTGGGCTTGTGAAATCGATAAACTACCCAGGAATTCCAGCACAGGAAACTGCCTCCCCTGGCTGTGCCAGGCAAGCCTGGAAGTTGGGAAATTTTTAGGAAAATAATGATTTTTATCAGAAACTGATAAAACTTCCTGGGGTGTGACACTGAAATAGGCATTACCGTGACCGGGTGAAGGGACTGCCCTTTCTTTGCTGGAGCTGTGTGGGTCGGCAGCTGGCCAGTGGTTGTACCTTTGGATAGAAAAGATATTTCTCAAAAGCTGGGGCTGAGGAAGAGCATTTGTTGGGACCCAGATTTTCCCCTATGAAGGTTCGTGGGCAGATAGCCCCTGCTTTAGCGGCTAAGAGAGCATTGAAAGGGTAGATTCTCTGGCCAGTAGCTGGGTTCCTGGCCCCAGCCCTGACCCTGTGAGCAACCTGTGTGACCTCAGTCTCCTTGTCTGCAAAGTGGGGATTCTGTCCTTCCCACCCAGGGCTGTGAAAAGGCAGGGGCCATAGGATAGGAGGGCAGCCATGGCTCTGGCGGTTAACAGCTACTTTTCCAACTTAAAGTATCAAAGTGACAAACATCCAGCCAGGACCATCAGGAGGCCATGTCTGAAACTCAGCGGCCATGGTGGGGAAAGGGAGATGTTCAGTTTTCTCTTTTTCTTTTTTCTTTTTGAGACGGAATCTCACTCTGTCACCCAGGCTGGAGTGCAGTGGCGCGATCTCAGCTCACTGCAAGCTCCTCCTCCCGGGTTCACACCATTCTCCTGCCTCAGCCTCCTGAGTAGCTGGGACTACAGCTGCCCGCCACCACGCCTGGCTAATTTTTTGTATTTTTAGTAAAGATGGGGTTTCACCATGTTAGCCAGGATGGTCTCGATCTCCTGACCTCGTGATCCGCCCATCTCGGCCTCCCAAAGTGCTGGCATTACAGGCGTGAGCCATTGCGCTCGGCCAGTTTTCTTTTTTTCTAAATAAAAGTGTGGAATGAGAGAAAATACACCGTGGAAATCTATCAATTCAACTTCCAGGTGCTTCCTTTTCACCTGCCTGACCTTTGTCAAGGCACTTAACCTTCTGGGCTCAGTGTCCACGCCTGAAAAATAATACTTTGAAACAGGGTCAAATGAAAATGATGAAGAGCAAGGTTTGTTGACTGTAATCAGTTCTTGGTTTCAGTCCAGCGAATGCTTCTCCCACACTATTCGGGAACATTTCCTTGTCAATGAATGCCCAGCCCCCACCTTCCCATAGAACCAAGGTCTGGAATCTCCCAAAGATGCCTGGCTGAGCGGCCACACCTCAGCAATGCCACTGGGACGGTCCCCCAGTTCTGGCTCAGACAGAAAGTACCAAATACAATCTCCTCCCACGTTCCCACATGTGAAAACGGAACCCTGACTCCTCGCTGGGCTCCTTCTGCTACCGTGGACCACCTCCATCTGATGCTGTGAAAAGGGGCATAAAAACCATGCTGAATTGGCCAAAAGCGCTCGAGGCCTCTCGACAGGCCCTCAATACACAGCATGAAATGCCTGCTGCTGCCTCCCAGCGGCTGCTGATTTGAGGGTCCACGGAGGGAATTCATGGGAAAGGCCTAGGTCTGTACAACGTGATTTCTTGGGTTTTCCCAGTAAAATTCTGCTGCCAGTTGTAGGGTTGGGAAGTTCATTCCAGGGCTCCCTGTCAGATTCAGATAGGCTGGGAGGCCCGTGCAAGAGATGCTGTCTGTCTGGCCAATGTCCTGATCCCAGTCATCTGAGATACATCCTGCCAGGAATCCCCTCTCCATGGTGGCCCCGGGAGGAGCCATTGATGTTTGGAGCAAGGTTTCTGGGCAGCACATTTATTTCCCCTATCTGCAAAATCTGGGACAGGGATCCTATTTTTGAGTGTCCCATAATTTCACTTTTGGGCATGAAGGAGGAGGTTCCTGACTTTGTTGCCTTCTCATGATCTGAAGGCTTTATAAGAACACTGACTTTTCCTCATTCATCTTTCCTGGTCACAGCCAGGAATATGAATTAATTCATTATTCAGTACAATTTAAAGCAGTACTAACGGTGCACAAGTCATTATTTAGGTGCAGGGGACACTGCAGTAAGCAAGGTGGGGCAGCTCCTGTCCCCATGGGGTTTACAGGCTTGCAGGGAAGTAAGATAACAAACGTGAAAGTTAACAAACAAGATCAGCCTATGTGCTAAGTGCTAGGAAGTATACAAAGATGGCGGGGGGACTGGGAATAACGCAGGGAGTGTGGGGGCTGCCTTATTTATGTTTTTAACTTGATTTTGAAATACTTTAGGATTATTTACATCTAAAGAGAAATGGCATGAACAGTGCAGAGATTTTCCATTCTTTCCCTGATAGCTTCCCCAAATGATAGCTTCTTACATAACCAATCCGTAGTATAAGAAAATCAGGAAATTGGGGGCGGGGGTGGGTACGGTGGCTCACGCCTGTAATCCCAGCACGTTGGGAGGCTAAGGAGGGTGGATCATGAGGTCAGGGGTTCAAGACCAACCCAGCCAAGATGGTGAAACCCTGTCTCTACTAAAAATACAAAAATTAGCTGGGTGTGGTGGTAGGTGCCTGTAATCCCAGCTACTTGGGAGGCTGAGGCACAGAACTGCTTGAACCCAGGAGGCGGAGGTTGCAGTAAGCCGAGATCGCGCCACTGCACTTTAGCCTGGGTGACACAGTGAGACTCCGTTTCAAAAAAAAAAAAAAAAAAAAACAAACCAGGAAATTGATACTGTTAACTAAATCCAGACTTTTC